CGTCGAAGGGTATAAGAAGAAGATAAGGGAAGAGAGAAGACAGGAGAGGAGAGAGAGAGATCCAAGCGGCGCTGAAGGGTTTTGCCCTTTAAGTAATTGCGAATGTGTATGTAGCCAATCTCTCAGCTTTAACACTCTCTATACAATTATTATCTAATCACCATCCAACGGTCACGATCTCTCCTTTGATATTACTATAAGCAGCGACCATGGGCCTAACTAAATCTATGGCCCATTTCAGATTCCAATTTTGGTTTTCTTTGTAAAATGCGTAGAGTTAGTTCTTGGAACTCGTTCATATTATTAACACTGCTAAACATATAGTGGCTTCTCCAAAATTTATGTTATCATGATTCAAGATGCAAAACTTACCAATAAAGTTTGATTCTTATATAATTTTGTAGTTCACCAAAAAAGAAGATTAATCCCAAATCTGCAAAATCGAGGGATTTCATTTTTCAATACAAGGCTCACTCTAGTTCCTTTTTCTTTCCAGCTCTTTGAATCATGATACTTGTTACCGCATTTAATCGAGGAATCCTACTTCTTTAATCTTCCATCAAGCTTGGAACTCGAGGAAGAGCTTAAGCTTCTGTAGCAGCATGTCGTTTGTTCCAAAAGGCGGTTTTTTGCTTCCAATCCAATCTCTACCAAGAAGTCCTGCTCTGTCGCTGTTGAGCATTTCCTCGCGGAATGTGGACAGAATCTGGTATATTGATATCTTTAAAACATCTGTAGCTGCATACGCGTAGGAGTACATCCCCCCAATACTTCTTTTTATGGGTTTGACGTCTTTTCTGACCATACTCGAGGTCGCCCATTTGATACTAGCAGGTCCCATCAGTTGTTGAGGTGATTGAAGATTAGTCTTCTTCCCCATAAACGTTTCGATAGCTAGCAAAAGCGATAGAAGTGTTGAGACAACATCAGCGTTTCCACCAGACAGTTGAGCTACTCCAAGCCTGTCTTCCTTGTGAGAGATTGAAGTCAGGGATGCAGTTGTTTGAGCACACCATGCATATAGCTGCAGATATCAGATACAGAGCAAACAGATTTTGGTTACAGCTACCAGAAGAAATCTTCACATAGAAAAGGGATGAAAATTTGAATTGCGATTACCTGGAAAGACTTAAGTGATTCCCCAAACTTTGGATCGATAAATGACTCGGTTGGTGGCTGGAGTGGTGTCTGATAACCTTTTTCAGTAAAGGTGTGGTCTAGCCCAGAAGATAACTTGGAGGCGAGCTCTTCCAAAGGCCTCAAGCATAGAGTGATTACTCTTTTGTAAGTCTCGGTGGACTCCTCGAAGAAGGCAGCACGACGCCATGTGTCAACATTATTTTGTGACACCATGTAGAGATCAAGGTATGCAAGAGACTGCTCGAGGGAACCTGGAGCGCTCCCTTCTAAAGCAGCAAGAAGAGGCTCGCTTGGATTCGTTTCTGCTGCAGCAGATCCTTTTGGAGGAGCAAAGCTGAACCGTTTTGTGTGCAGAACCTGGAAAAGAAAACGACAATTGTAATTAACTTCTTTTGTAGCCAGAACCTGGAAAAGTAGCTAAAGTTTATATATTCCTTGATAGAGTAACAAGTTATACACAAAACAAAGCTCATAGATGAATCCTTCAACGTGTTTAGGCAGGAATAGTTAAGCTATCCAAAAAAAAAAGTAAACAATTTGCGCATATCGATACAAATTTATATGAGTTTTTTCAAAACCGAGTCACATAAACAGAAGACAGACAGACCTTGACATGGGCTCCCAAACAGAAATAGTTAAGTACAGAATTGCCTAACAAAACGGGAAAACAATTCCACACAGTATCAATGCAAAACATAATGGCAAACACAGCTAACTTGCCATTGCTTTTCAGATTTTTCTCAGTTCAGTTTAGCATTACTCAAGTGATAGAGAGTTCTAACTCTTGTATATCTAACATGTCACCTCAACTATGTTCACTTAAAAGTTACAGTGATCTTAACATACTAAACACTATACCACCAATCTAAACGGTTACATCACCAACCAATTACATCTATCAATAGAAAATCAACAAAGAAAACTTAACTAACCTTATGTATATGGTGAGTGACTTCCCAAGAGAGAATCAAACAGAAACTGCCGGCATAAGATAAGACCTGCTCACCCAAGAATCTGGATACAGACACAAGCCCACCCGACCAGTCTAGCAGAAACAATAGCATTATCGTTGACAAGACATAAAGCACACCAGATAGCTTCAGAGCTTGTGTTAGAGCCGAAGGAAGACCAATCTTGAAGCTGAAGAACGGTGGACGCTGTTTGGGAAAACACAAGTAAGAATCAGCAAAGATACAAAATTGATGAAAGATTCCATAAATCAAGAAGCAAAGACACAAAACCTGAATGATGGGAAACTCCAAAACCCATCGCTGCTTAATGACGAAGAGGACTGCGTAAAGCAATCCAGTCACAAATCCCCTAAACCCTATTCTTCCAATCGGTCCAAACGAATCACTAGACAAGCAAAACACAGCAGCGGAGCAGAACCCAGCAAGGGAAGTAGCGCAGACGAAGAGCACGATGCGTAAAGATACGCGAGCACGGCGGCGGAACTCGGGATCCGAGAGGTGACGGAGAAGGCCGAGAGCGAATTGGAGAGGGGAGAGAGGCGAATCTGGAGTCGGAGTAGAGAGGAGAGCTAGTGAGACGGAGAAGAGAAGCTGTGAGCAATGGAAGACGAGGAAAGTGAGGAAAAAGGAGATGATTGAAGTGGTGGAGAAGAGGAAAAGGTTGAAGAAGAAGAAAATGGCTGATGAAGGAATCGATTGCCAGATAAGAAAAGCTGCGAAGCGGTGGCTCACAACCGTCTCCGGTACCGGAGGAGAAGGCATAATCGCCGGCGATTATTTTTGCCCCTTTTGTTTAAGAATTAATTTGAAATGAGTTTCGTGTCGGAACTTGAGCGGGGCCGTGAAGTCAAGTGAGTGAGCCAACGAGGCAGCGACGAAGGTAAGCTAAAGACAGAGGTTGGGGGCTGCCTTTTTACTTTTCACGTTTGAATCGCGGTGCGTTTTGTTCACGCTATCTTTAACCAGGCTTTTATCAGCCCATTGGGCCGAGATTAATTATTTGCCATCTAGGTTCTCGTTTATACGCCGAGATATCCAAATTAGTGAGATATGCATTTATTATAGCCCTAGTCTTTATATATAAATCATCAAACTATATACTGGAGGGAGTATTATAGTCCATATACGTATAGTTTTGATTATTCATAATTGTTTTCTTCAAACTTCTCACAAATGGTTTGTTGATAATTTGTATAGAAAAGAGCTAATAATAGATCAGACTCGGATATCCGAAAATTTAGTTCCTCAAAAAATGTAGCATCAAGAAGCAAGTCTTATCTCGGACAAGGTAAATTCCTCAACAAAACTCTAAATGAATCAATGTCGATAAAAAGAAATTCATGAATCTCAAAGAAAGGTTGGTGATAAGCTGATTTACCTGAGACTCAAGAGATGTGTATATATATGAGAAACCATTACTTATTGGCTGCACACATTCTTCAAATACCAATCATAAGTTTGGCGAAGACCATCTGTGAGAGAAACCTTGGGTGTCCAACCCAAAGACGCAAGCTTTGAGCTGTCCATCAGTTTCCTCGGTGTCCCATCTGGCTTAGTGATATCCCATCCAAGCTTCCCTTCAAAACCAACGACTTCCTTCACCAGCTCAGCCAACTCTTTGATCGTCACTTCTTGACCACTTCCTATGTTAACATGCTCCAACCCGCTGTATCGATCCAGCAAGAAAACGCAAGCATCAGCCAAATCATCGACGTGCAAGAACTCCCTCAACGGACTGCCTGTACCCCACACCACAACTTCCTCTGCTCCATTCACTTTCGCCTCATGGAACCTCCTCATGAGAGCAGGAAGCACATGAGAATTCTCCGGGTGAAAATTGTCATTAGGACCATAAAGATTAGTAGGCATGCCAGAGATCGCATCCCATCCGTGCTGAATCCGATAAGCCTGGCAAGTCTTAATCCCTGCGATCTTAGCAATAGCATACCACTCATTAGTTGGTTCAAGCGATGCGGTTAACAAAGCAGACTCAGGAATTGGCTGAGGAGCAAATTTGGGGTAAATGCAGGAAGATCCAAGGAAGAGAAGCTTCTTGACACCGTGCTCGTAAGCAGAGTGGATCACATTGGTCTGAATCTGGAGATTGACACCAATGAAATCAGCAGGATAAGTGTTGTTAGCATGAATCCCACCAACTTTAGCTGCTGCTAGGATTACATAAACAGGCTTCTCTTGAGCAAAGAAGGATTCAACATCGGCTTGACGTGTGAGATCGAGCTCGGCGTGTGTTCGAAGAACGAGATTGGTGAAACCTTGTTCCTGAAGCTTGCGGGCAATGGCAGATCCAACCAAACCGCGATGACCAGCGACGAAGATTTTGGCGGATTTGTCAGACATCGACGAAACCTCTGCACAATTAAAAAAATAAAAAAAAAACGCTGCGAAATTAAAGACCATAAGAAAGAGGCTCGAACAAAATCAATCAATATCGTCCATACATTAATTTGTAGTTCCAGAACAATCGCACGTAGATTCCATACAAATGTCGACATACGAAAGATTTTAATTCAGATTAATTGAGAAAGATGTACCTGAGCCGATGGTTTCCGCCATTTTCGTTCAAAGAGACCAAGGCTAGCTAGATTTGTCAATGGAAGAAGCTGAGAGATCGGGGAGACGATATGAATCAATGGCTGGAAAGCCACTTTTGGAGAAAAAAAAACCTGGAATGCCACCCTTCTTTTTTTTTTTTATCAGATGAATTAAATTTAAAGAGATTTAAATCCATAATTATGAAAAGACGAAAAAACCAAAACAAATATCCAACGTTATAACCAAAAAAACGAAACCTTTTCGTTTTTTCTCTCGAAAAACCCTAACTTCTCCAATTTCATCTCCTTCTTCTCCGATTTCATTCCGATAATCCTTCGAAATCTTCGATATTTTCTCCTATTTCTTCGATTTCTTCTCGCTTCTCTTCGTCTCAGTCGAGTTTCGCAGTGAATCGCACCGCCCTTTTCCAAAGCCATTGAAAATCTGAGAAATTTTGGAATGGCTCGTGTTAGAAACGCCGAAGGTGAATATGAATCTACGGCGGCGCGTCCGAGAGAGCCAGTGGATTCAAGTACCATGGTCGAGCCTACAGAAGAAACCGGAGAGCAGAGAGAACCAGGGGATGGTGAACCTGGAAGTGAAACCGTCGGGATTCAAATTGATCTGATAGAAGATGCAGCAATTGATGCTTCCGAGAGCCAACCTGCAAAAGAAACCGTCGAGTTGGAAAGAGTAACGACAGAAGGAGAGACCGAGGATTCCGATAGTCAACCTGCAAATGAGAGTCTGATAGAACCTACAATTGCTCAGGTATATACATTAGTTTGAGAATGGATTAATGGTATTCAAGGTACAACTAGTTCAACTAGTGAATTAGGTTGTCTTTGAATATGAGTATATATAATTTTGATGCTAGTTCTTGGTATAATTGAAGCGGAGAATATATAGGTTTGAATTTATGTGTCTTGATACAACTAGTTCAACTTATCCCGATTATATACTTGTTTGAATTGTGTGTTTTGAGACAAGTAGTTCAACAACTTAAACTCAACGATTATGTTTTGAATATGCAGGATACATATGAGGAAGAGGATGATGTTGCAGGTAATGCTAGTGAAGAGGATGAGCATGGTGATGTTGGTACTGGTAAAGATGATATAGAGGCTGAAGAGGATGTTGGTATAGAGGAGGAGGCTGCTGCTAAAGATGGTATAGAGGAGGAGGTTGCTGAAGCTAGTAAGGACGTTGCTGGTATAACAGCTGATGATAATTATGATAATGATGATGATGAAGATGATTCCCAGCCACTTCCGCCAGAGAAGATGTGCTTAGATAGTTCAGAATACACCAAAGGGTGTAAAATAGGAACTAGGTGTAAAGTGACTGAGACAGTGAACTTGATAGAGAAAGAGTTTAAAGACGAGGCAATATGGTTCAGAAGTCACTCTCAGTTCAAGCATGTATTCCACATGCCTAGGGAGCCAAACCACATGACTCAAGGCATGTGGATGCTTATGCTGCGCACAGTTGACACAGATCTTGAGAGGGAGTGTTGGTTTGTGGTTAATGGAGTACCTATTAGGTATTCCATCAAAGAGCATGCGTTGCTAACTGGGTTTAATTGCAAGGAATACCCGGAGAAGCATGAGGAAATGGGGAATTTGAGGTTTGTGAAGAGAATCTTCAAAAGGACTGAGAAGATAAAGGCATCTGATGTATTAGCTAAGTTGAAGGGAAAGAAGAGTTGGAAAGGAGCTGATAAGAAGAAGTTAGTAGTCTTGTATTTCTTATGCAAGATACTAAAAGCAAGCTCAAAAAGTGATGGAAACATAGAATCCTTTCTCTTAAGGATTGTTGATGATTTGGATGCATGTGAGACATATCCATGGGGCAGGTATTCATTCTCAGAATGTATGAAAGGGATCCGGAATATGATGAAGAATTTGAATGGGTCTGTCAAACCTAAAGCTCAACCTAGCTTTAGTGGATTCATTGTACCTTTGGAGGTAATCCTTTGTTTTTGATGTCTGAGTATTTGAAGTTGTATATATTGTTTTATGATATTAACTGTGTGTGTTTTTTTGTAGATTCTGGCTTATGAGGCTATTCCACATCTTGGACTGAAATATAGAGTACTTGTACGTGCAGCAAATGACTGTCCAAGGATGTGCAAGCACAAGTTTAAAGAATCTGCCATGAAAGGTATCCCTTTGGAAGAAATATATCAAGAGCTTGGGACTAGCAAGGTTAGAGTTTCTGTCTTCATTTGATTATTTGGTTTGTGTCATGTATTTGACAAAGACTCTAAGTTAAATGTATGTGTGTGTATGCACAGGATATTGACAGCATATTGGTACCAGACCAATATGAAAAATCTCTGTTGGCTGGAATCATTGAAGATAATGTTGATGATGGCCTAGGGCAGATTGATATCATTGTTGACAGTTGGAGAGAGCGTCTAGTAGAAAAGAAGAAAAAGATATGGTGGGAAGGAATGTACCAGCTGGACCAGGCGTCCCGAGAGATTGGTAATAAGTTTCTTGAGAATGAAGACCCTGAGCAACAAGCCCCTGAGCAAGAAGTCCCTGAGAAAGAGAGTTCTAATATTGCTAAAGTTGTTGCATCTCTTGCCTCACTAACAGAGGTGGTGAACAATGGCTTTCATGCCATTGAGGAGAAGTTTAGGGATATGGAGATTAGAGTGAAGACTCTTGAAGTGTCTGTGGCAGCTCAGGGATATCATAGTCCGGTGTTTCCGCCATATGGGTCGCCTCTGGAAACACAATATGGGACAAGAACTGATTTTGAGGGTGGGCAGATGAGTCAAACCATGGAATTGGTTTTGTATAATCCCATTTCTCCAACTGTTCCAGAACAAGGTGAGTGTAGAAGTTTCTTGGTTATTTATTGAACTCTTAAAGTGGACTAATAAACTGTTTTCTTTGTACATTGTATGAAGGTGATGAGGAGGAGGAAAAGAATGAGGAGGAGAAAAAGAATGAGGAAGAGATGAAAGGAAAAGAGAAGAAGAAGGGCAAGAAGACAAAGAGGATGTTGCAGCAAGAGGGTGGACCTGTAATAGCAACCGGACAAAAGCGAACAAGGGCAGCTTCCCAACATATTAAGACACCATTTGTGGAAGTGCAGCCGAAGAGAAGGAGAAAGAAGTAAGAACTATGGTTGATGTGTGCTGGTGGTGTAGGAAAAAACTAAAAAATCTTTTGGACATGATTATTTGTGTTTTGAACAAGTAGGAACTATTGTTGATGTTATTTTGGTTGTACCTGGAGTTAGTACTTGTTATTTTGGTTAATTTTAGATTTCCTACTTTTGGGTACAACTGTGTTCAGTCGGTACAACTGGTCAAGGCAGTACAACTGGTCAAGTCGGTACAACTTCGTGGTACAACTATGTCAAAGCGAAGGCAACTTTTGAAATAAAATTGGTCAAATACTTGTTAAACATTTAGAAATAAAACTAGGTCAAATACTTGTGGTACAACTTTTAGAAATAAAACTAGGTCAAATATTTGACATTTACAACTAGACGGTACAACTGGTCAAGACGGTACAACTTTGTGGTACAACTATGTCAAAGCAAAGGCATAAATACTTGTTAAACATTTAGAAATAAAACTAGGTTACTAGTTCAAACTTAAGAAACTAATAGGAAATAAAGGAGATTAGTCTACATAGGGTTATTACAAACATAAGAAGTCTACAAAGATTTCTTAGAGGAATACATAAATACATAAGTGGTTATTACTACCACTTAGATAGCAACTCCTTCAGCCTACCAATCTCAGTTTCTTTCTCCTCCAAACGCTTCTGAAGATCATCGACTTGAGCACGCATAATTCGAACAGACTCGCGAAGGGACTCCAACATAGGATTTTGGTAAGCGTGGTGGATTGATTCTTTCTGGGTTTCAAATTTGTTATGGACGACAGTAAACTCCTCATTAACCGCATCATCCCACCACTTTTGAAGGTGTTCTCCACCATCCTAAGCATAAGCATCATTCATCAATCATAAGAAAAACGAATTCATCATCAACAATACAAAAAAATTCATCATACCTCAAAATTTGGACATTTGTATTCCTTTCTTCCTTGATTATTGCCAGTGGTACACACAACAAGCTTAACGTAGGTTCCACAGAAACAATATCTCGGAATACCCCAATTACCGTCAGCTCTTGCCCAACTCATATCCTCACTCGGCTCCGATTCGGAGCTTTGAGTATAACTGATTGGCATTCTCACTGCAACTCCTCAAGAAGAATCAGAAATTTAAAAACCATAGATATAAATCCGAATCTAGGATATACAAATCAAAAACGGAGAACCCCAAATAAGAAAACCGTAGATCCAAATCCGAATCTACAAACCCAAACCCAATCAAAAACGGAGAACCCCAAATAAGAAAACCCTAGATCCAAATCCGAATCGACAAACCCAAACCCTAGATCTAGGAATTAGAAAGCACCAACCTTGAGAGATAGGAGTCGTTCGCCGAAATCTCTCCTCTCGCCGTCGGGATCTCCGCTCTCGCTCGCCGGAATTTTACTTCTCTACTTTTTTGGGTTTCGCAAATGAGAGAGAGAGAAACTAGGTAAGAGAGGGAGACAGAGCTTATAATAAAACCCTAGATCTATCGATCTATCTTCCTTTTCCTTTTAAAAGAATATCTAAAAACAAAAAATACTTTTTAAAATAAACAAAAAATACTTTTTAAAATAAACAGTTGTACTTTGGCGGCTGTACTTGTTTAATAGTATTAAATATGAGGGACCCATGACTGAATATACTCATAGTTGTCCAGTTGTACTAGGAGCAACATAGTTGGACTTTTAACACTTTTTCTTGTTTTCAGTTGGACTAGTATTTAAATAACTAATTATAAGTTGGACAAATGATTATTCTTAATTATTTGGCATATCCAAGGGTTACATAATATTATATTTACCAAATCATTTGTCCAACTTCTTTCACTATGATTTAGGTTATCTTATAGCAAGTATCCCTTATACTATAAGGGGTTGTTTGTGTGAGAACATCATTTTCCATAGATTTTTTTAAAAGTTGTATTCAAATGTTTAAATTTTCTTTAAAAGTTAATTCTATTATGATTATATTATAGAATTATTATTTTATTTCTTTTTTTTTTTAAATATGTTGTTTTATAATACTATCGTAGCTGTACAAGTTGAACCAGTTGAATAGTTAAAGCTAAACTTATGGACGCATACTTGTAATAGCTGAACTCAGTATATAAACGAATAGAAATACAACTTAAAACAAACAGACATGTTCTTAGCTTAACTCAGTTGAACCAGCTGAATTGTTAATGCACAAACGAGACACAGACATGTTCTTAGTTGAACCCAGTTGAACCAGCTGAATTGTTAATGCACATGCGAGAAATACAAGTAAAACACAGAAACTCAAGTTAACCATTCTCATCATTGGGAGGGGGCTGCAACCAACTCTCCAAGTTAATGCCAGGCTGTGCCTTGTTTTGGGTCCTCTTTCGTCGCTTTTCCCCGGTGGATGGAAACCGGGTTTCTTGATTTCTACCTTTCTTTGGTTTGTAATCCGGCGGTTTTGCGATCTTCTCCTCGTAGTCAGCTGGGAAAGTCCATTGAGACTCATGCGGCACAACGTAAATCGTTTTGTAATATGCCAATGCCCACGTCTCGATCAAGTAATATTTCGAACAAAGACCATATATGCTTACTTCCGTGGTTCTCCATTCATTCCGACAATGCTTAATGGCTGCGGCTATACTATGGATGCAAGGGTACTTGTCTATATCAAAACACCTACAAGTACAAGATTTCATATCCAAGTCCACCAAATATGTTAAACCATCAACTCCAATTACGCTATATTCGCGTCGGTAGCTGTTAAGCTCAGTGACCGTCAACTTCGCAGCTATAGGACATCGGATATGTAATATATTCTCCACAACAGGCACCACCTGCGTCGTGTTCGATGCATTGGCAGAATCTTTTCGATGTTTGTTGAACCATTCGGAAAACTTCTCCAATATCGCATCAATCATCGGTAATAGATGGTACTTCCTTACTTCCTTAAACACAGCATTCATTGACTCTGCGGAGTTGCTAGTATCTATGTTGTACTTGTCTCCCTCAGCATGACTCCTAGCCCATTGTTCAACCCCAATAGAATTATCTAGATATTCAGCAGCTCTAGGATACCTTCTCCTAAAATCACCATACTGAATGTTGAACTCGGTCTTAGTATATACATGAGCGCATTCCTTGAATTTATCAACACCTACGTCCTTGTCCCCAGTCAACTTTGGCCTAAGGTTTTGGGACAAATGCCATATACAATGACCATGTGATGCGTTTGGAAACACGTCCATCACTCCCTTGATGATGCTTTGATGTCTATCGCTTATGAAAACCAAACCATCTTCATCCGGTACTACCTTTCTCAACATTCTAAAAAACCAATTCCAACTAGCATGATTCTCACTATCAATTACACCAAACGCAATGGGGTAATGGTGACGATTAGGATCCTGAGCTGTTGCAATAACTAACATCCCACCATATACAGTTTTCAGAAAAGTTGCATCAATCACTAACACTTTCCTCATTGCCTTAAACCCTTCAATGCTTGCTCCTAAAGCGATAAATAAGTACTTGAACCTCTCTTCTGCATCCAATTCCACTTCCGTTACTGTCCCAGGATTCACCTCTCTCAACATGTGGAGATAAGCATACAACATCGTGTAGCAAACTTCAGGGTTCCCACGCATATCACTAACATGTTGTTTTTTCCCTCTCAAGGCGGTGGAGTATGAACAATCCAAACCAAGTCTTCCTTTAACAAGAGTCATGATGGTTTTAGGATCCGGTGTTTTCAATTGACCACGGAAGTCCTCATGCAAAACACTTGCTACTAATCGTGGTGTGCCTTTTTGTTTAAAATATCTAGTACTCTCCTCACACCTAGAGCATGTATGCATGTTTTTGTGAACTCTTACACTCCAAAAATCTGATTTCTTTATTCTAGCAACTCTTAAATACCATTCACAACCCATGGAAGCTTGACTGCATTCAATCATAAGTCGCACCGGGTCCGACTTCACACATCTCACACCAAACAACTCGGCCTTTGCAGCTCTATTAACCAAATCCCATACAGCCTCCTTAGAAGGAAATTCTTGATCTTTTTCCAAAACCATACCATCTTCCCATTCTTTAACTGTTTCCTCACTTGGTTGTACAGGCCGTGAAAGCTCAACATATTCATGCCTAACATCATTCTCACAATCTTCATTTACACCATTCTCTATCATGAGCTGTTCAATAATCGGTTCATTACCTATAGCAGGCTCTTTCTCTTGTTCTGATCCTTCCCCCCATCTAAAAGTACTCAAGTTTCCTTGATTATTTACATCATCAGTCCTTACATCATCAGTCCTTACATCATTGGCAGCCACTTCCCCATAATTCAAACCGCATGAACTTCTTCTCTCTACTCTTGGTACTAGCTCTACCATCTGATTACTTTCAAGATTGCATAACTCCACATGCAAAATTGGTCTAAATCCCTCTTTATCCAATGATGTTAAGAATATACAAACATCCTCATCATCTAAAATATAAGACTCTCTCCTTCCTTTACATATCATGTAACTCAATTTCATCTTCCTTCTCGCTCCGTCTATAGCAATCTTCTTACAGATCTTATCTACCAACACTGGATATGTTATTCTCTCCAAAGATGTTGTCTTAAACATTATAGCATATAGTGAATTGTTGCAATTCCACTCATGCTCTTCTGAATAGTACCCTCCATAGTCAAAATATATGTTTGTCTGGATCTTCTTCTTCATCGCACTGCAGATAGAACAAAATAAATCACTAATTTCGATACAGCACTTGTAACAGGTATACCAATTGTACCAGTCGAACTACACTATCATATATGTACCAGTTGTATTATTCAATTTCAGTTGTACCATTACCTTCTGCAACAAACGATACAAAGGAGGAGCTACATTCTAATTTCCCTCAGATTCAACACGATTGAACTCATAAATCCTACTATCTAGAGATTTCTACATTACACCTACCATTGCCAAACTCTACCATTGCAAATCAAAATACTCTTCTAAGAACTTACTTGCTTCAATCGAGATCCAAGAATGGAGGGGAAGAAAGAAGACGCTGCGACGGAGGAGGCGACAGCCGGCGAAATGGATGACTTAACCAAAACAGAGGAGGAGCGTTTCGGGAGTAGACGAGCTGCAAATCTGTCGACCTCTCGATCTTTCGATCCAACAATGGCGGAGATAAGTAAAGCTGTTGCGCCGGAAATGTCAGTCACTCTCTCGAGCTCTCAGCTCCGGGGAGAATCTTCAACAATGTCGGGGGAAGGGAAGACACAGATTCGAGATTGGATCGAGAATTCATTTCTCGATTTCAATTATTTTTTATTTTTTCTTTCTTTTTCAATTCATTAAGGGTAAAGGAGTATTATCCTATTGAGAGGTGGCATTGAGACTCTAAAATGGCAGTCGTGATTAACATTTCCGGTTCAGTGGCAAACTAGCCTGTGCCTCGTCTATTGGTCAGCAAGATTTTATACCTTAAAAAAAAAACGTTTTAGGTCCAGGGATCTGTCAAACCGTTGACTTTCACCCATTATGTTAAAATCGACTCATCCAAATCTCGTTGGCCCACCAAAACAGGCCCATCTGTTACTAACTGTTTTGATAGCATATTACTAGATGCCAAGATATTCATGAACCACACGTTTTGGTTTGTTAAACCAAAGTTTTAATGATCGACTTATATGCGTGGATGTGGTTGTTAAAATGTTCCTAGCTATAAACCAAACAAAAGTGAAAAAAAAAATCTGTTCAATTTCCAAGTTATCTGACTCTTGAACCCGAGAACAAAATTAAAAGAAACAGCGGAAAGATCTTTTATTACAATATTTGATGAACAAAGGAAACAGAGAAAAACACACACAAGTTTTATTTTTCAGTCTTATCTCTTTTAATTTATATATTTGAAAACACAGAGAGACTATTATCCCTCTTAATTTTTCTGTCACATAGGCATGGGTTTGGACAAAGCCTCTCCTGTCTCATTAGCTTTCTTGAACATAACCCAGTAATCAACCTGCCAGTAATCCCCATCGTTTAAAGCCAAACGTCAAACGCCAAATCTATCCTGATGTATCCCAACATTGGTGCATCCATAGCTGGGCCATGAAAGTTTTCTGCTTCCTGCGAAGCCAGGACAAAACGAAAACTTGTAGTGATGATGATAGTCAGATTTCTGTATCTGGAAGAAACCATCTTCTTCGTATACTTCTGGCTTCGGACCAGCCATCACCCGCCAGTAGTTTGAGTTAGCGCAGGCCAACGTGTCTGCTATGGCCAGGGGCGGAGGTAGGAAGGAGTGAGTGGGGTCACATGACCCCTATCAGAATTCTCTAGAGAATAGCTACTGTTTCAAAGCTTTCATTCTCTTATTAAATACACAATAATAAATGAGGGCACGTATTGTTAGCTGTTTTTATTTAAAGGGGCGTCCATGCACTCTTTCCCTTTGATTTATATCGGGCATTAAAATGGAGAAGTGAACATGATTGAACATCTAATAAATGGGCATGTGCTTCACTAGCTCTCTTTATTCAATATGTAGTTTTCAAGAAAACAGAGAGAGGTGTTTATCAAAGGGAAAAAAAAATAACAGAGAGGTCTGTTTATTTAGTAAATAAAGATCGAGGCTTGTCCTCTTACATAGTCTTTGACGAAACTTCGGTCACATTGGCTTTTTTGAACATAACCAAGAAAGGCTCATCGCTTAAAGCCAAACGACGAACGCCGAGTTCATCCACGAATATCCCGACATCGCTGCATTTTGGACTGCCAGAGTCGCAAGTCCGAGGACAGAACACAAACTTGTAAGCACCAAGATCCCCAGATTTCTCGATCTTGAAGAAACTCTTCAACGAATCTTGTCCAAACCCTTCTGGTTTAGGACCAGCCACAACGAAGTACTGCTTCCTCTCGTGGTCAAAATCACCGACCCACCAGTAGGTTGACTGAACGCAGATCGTGGCTCCGATGTCTGTTTCGATGTTGAGGTTCTCTGATTCGGGAACGAATGCAACTTTAAGCCTCCAGTTTGAAAATTTTACGGGAATGCCCTCCTCGAGTTCTGAAGATTCCTGCACGATATCGAGAGGACATAGCTCACCACCGCGGCCTGCTAGAGTCAGGCCGCCTCCTCGGCCACGGATGACAGGGAGAACGTAGTAACTTTCGTGGAATATGGTGTTGCCGTCGATGTCGAGAACGGCACCATATGCGTTTGAGGCCAAAGCCGCGGTTAAGGCAAGAACTAAGTAAAAGGTAGGGTTCATGGTTTTGGTAGTTTTTGTGATAGTATAGCCAATGGTTATTTGTGGATGAAGAAAATATGGGTTGATGTAATACTTATTTATAAACACGTTAGTATGATTTTAGCCAATGGAGACTAGGTGAGGCGGCTTTGATAGCTAGTGTATATATGCTTAGCTTGTAATCTTTAAACTCTCAATATTTATATGATTTTAAGCATAGTACACATTGAGAAATGAGAAGATGACCTTGATCATATCTACTAACATTCTACACACGTTTCTTTGATTTGTATATTTTGGTTAAGCTCAGTTTTGTCAAAGTGTTTGACTAATCTGGAGGTGGACAGCTATTAACTCTAGAGTCGAGATCACTGTGTCCCCACGTGTGGATTTTGGATTTTAATTTTTTACTATTCTAGTTTGATATAGTAAGTTTTCAATTTTATCCGTCCCTGACAACTTACAATTCCAATTTCTTAAAACAAGTTTATGTTTCGTTCAATGGTTTTAATTACGTTTTCAGAGATAGAAAAATTGCAAAGGATGTAAACCAAGATATGTTTATGCTTTTTTTAGTGTCTATGGCAGTTCAATTTGACCAAACCAACCTAAATGGACACGTAAGAGATAGTAATACTTTGATCCTAATCCATACATGTCATGTATTTTTCTTTCTCGATCTCTAGGCAAATATTCATATATAAATTCAATTTGTCAGTGCCATGTGCATATCATCTTTGTTTGGAGCAGAACTATGAATTATAAGACTTTTAATTTTAATGAGTAGATGTCAAAGTATATGCTTCAAGTGATGAAATTTTCTTACAAAAAAAAGAAAAAAAAAAAATTTCTTTCTCAATATTGGCAACTTTAATTTCTCCGTCACTGTGACAGGCTCAGCCATTAAAAAGACTCTAGCTGAAGTTCCGTCAGATCTAGGTCAAACAAATGATGTAGTTACGGTCCATCAATCGGACGTTTCTCTCCATTTAGTTACTTCGATTGAAGGTGTTTCTACTCAATCTAAGCCTGCCGTTGAAGCTTTAAAGAAAGCGGACCCGGTTAGCTCCATTGCTCCCTCGACGGTTAAAGGTAAAGACCCTTGGGTTGGTCTTTTCAAAGGATCAGCGAAAAGCCTATCAAAGAAGGGAAAAGCATTTGTTTTGCCATCTGGAGAAACTTGTGTCAAGATCCCAAACTCAATAATTGAAAAAAATCTTAAAGCTTGGGATTCGTTTATCATTGGCCAATTCTACGCAGACCCTCCGCCTCAAGCTCTGATTCACACCATTGTTAATGGCATTTGGAGCCCAAGGTTCAAGGACATCTCTGTCTCTAATTTGGAAGGCAATGCTTTCCTTTTTCGCATTCCAAATGTTCAAACCCGACAAAGAGTGTTAAACCAATGCCTCTGGCAAGTAGAAGGTCAGACTATGTTTGTTGCAAATTGGGAGCCGGGTGTCGTTCCTGTTAAACCAGAGCTCACCTCCGCGCCTATTTGGTTGGAGTTGCGGAATGTCCCTTTGCAGTTTTTCAACGATGATGGTTTTGAACGAATTGTGGGACAGATTGGAGATCCAAAATTCCTCCATCCCTCTACGGCTAACAAATCAAATCTCGAGGTCGTAAAGATTTTCACTCTCATCGACCCTCGCAAGCCCCTGCCTGAAGCAGTTAACGTGCAATTCGACACCGGAGAAATCAAGAGGATTCTGGTTTCTAGCCCTTGGATGCCCCCAATCTGCTCTCATTGTAAAGAGGTTGGGCATAGTTTGAAGAGGTGTAGAACTGCGCCAGTAACGTGCAAAAGCTGTAATTCAACAAGCCACTCTGCGGAGAAGTGCCCGAGAATTAAAGGTAATGGTGTGAGGAAGCCTTCTAGTGTGAAAGAAAAAGCTTCAACTTTTATTCCAGTGGCAAAGTCTAGGCAAGTCCAAGTTCCTGAAGCAAAGACGCATATTCAAAACAAAGGTTTGACTTATGTTGTGAAATCAAAGCCATCATTAGAAATTGATCCTCCATCTGATAGCCATCCCATCATTCTGGTTGGAGACTCTAGTAAAGCTGCAGGAAAAAAAATTCTAGTTGAGAATGATCAGTTGGTGAAAGGCAAAGTATCTGAAGCTGAGCCAGATTCGTCTGATACACTTTCTAGTGAAGAGGGAGAAATCTTTGAGGAAGATTTCATCTCTGAAGAAGAACATGAATACTTGGAAGTAGTTTCAAAGAGAAATCGGAGAAACTTCAGGGGGACAGGCCCCAATCTCCATTAATGTCTATGTATAGAGACATCTTTTGTTGGAATGTCCGCGGATTTAATAAGCAATCCCATAGGAGCGGATTTAAGAATTGGTTTTATAGTAACAAACCTCTTTTTGGTAGTCTTATTGAGACTCATGTCAAGCAGGCGAAGACCGCAAAGTTTGTTAATGCTCTCTTACCTGGCTGGCTTTTTGATGATAACTACGCTTTCTCGGAGTTAGGAAAAATTTGGATCCTTTGGCACCCTAGTGTAAAGGTGATTATTCTTTCTAAATCGCTCCAAATGATTACATGTGAAGTTCAATTTCCTGGTAACCCTGTGTGGTTTGTTGTCTCCTTTGTCTACGCTTCGAATGAGGATGCTTTGAGGAGATCTCTTTGGGAAGAGATAGTCTGTCAAGCTGCAAGCCCGCATTTGGTTGGCAAAGCTTGGGCAGTTTTGGGAGATTTTAATCAAATCCTGAATCCGGTTGACCACTCTTCTCGTCTTAACCTCAATATGGATAGAGCAATGAGGGTTTTTAGTGATTCTCTTCTGCAGGCCTCCCTAATGGATCTAAATTACAGAGGTTGCTCGTTTACCTGGTGGAATAAGAGAAGAGCAAGCCCAGTAGCAAAGAAACTTGATAGAATCCTTGTTAATGACGATTGGCAGGTCTTGTTTCCCTTCTCGACTGGTTTTTTTGGTGCACCAGTTTTTTCTGATCACTCGCCTGGATCTATCTTGCTTAACCCGGCGACAGTCAGACACGTAAAGCCTTTCAAATTCTACAATTATCTGCTCAAGAACCCAGATTTCCTGCCTCTTATCTGTGAAAGTTGGTTCTCAATAAATGTGGTTGGCTCCTCTATGTTTCGGGTTTCTGCAAATTTGAGAGAGCTAAAAAAGGTAATCAGGCTCTTCAGTAAATCAAACTACTCAAACATTGAGAAAAGAGTTCAGGAGGCTCTTGAGGTGCTCACAGAATCGCAGTCCAGAATGCTCTCTAGCCCTTCAGAAGCAAATGCGGATTTTGAGCTTGAAGCCTTAAGGAAGTGGGATATCTTATCCAAAGCAGAGGAGACTTTTTTCTATCAGAGATCAAGCTTATCTTGGCTCGGGGATGGTGACAAGAACACAGCTTATTTTCACCGTATGGCAGCAACAAGACACTCAATAAACCACATTCATTTCTTAGATGATGCTGCCGGAAACCGCATTGATTCTCAACAAGGAATTCACTCTCTCTGCGTGGAGTATTTTAATGACTTGTTGGGAAGTCATGAGCCGCCTCCTCTGTTCATCCAAGATGACATCTCTGCGCTGCTCAATTTTAAATGCTCTGAAGTCCAGAAAGTCAAGCTTGATTCTGCTTTCACTAGGGAGGAGGTTAAGGCTGCTTTTTTCTCTCTACCAAAGAACAAGACCAGCGGGCCTGATGGGTACTCCGCGGAGTTTTTCACAAGTTGTTGGAGCGTAGTGGGGGCTGAGGTTTCCGCAGCAGTTGCTGAATTTTTCTCCTCAGGTTCTTTGCTCAAACAATGGAACTCTACATGCCTTGTTCTGATCCCCAAAATCCAGAATGCGTCAAAGGTTTCAGATTTCAGGCCAATCTCATGTCTAAACACCGTGTATAAAGTAATCTCAAAGCTCTTGGCGGGTAAACTCAAGTCCATTCTTCCTTCAATGATCTCTCACTCTCAAACTGCTTTCTTGCCCGGGAGACTGTTATCAGAAAATGTCTTGCTCGCCTCTGAGATTGTACAGGGCTACAACAGAAGGGACATTTCTCCAAGAGCTATGCTGAAAGTCGATCTTCGAAAAGCTTTTGATTCGGTCAGATGGGATTTTATCTTATCAACTCTTTCAGCTATTGGCATTCCGGAAAAGTTCACGGGTTGGATTAAAGAATGCATTTGCACACCGAGTTTCTCTATCTCCGTAAATGGAATGACAAATGGGTTCTTTAAGAGTACCAGAGGACTGAGACAAGGAGACCCTCTTTCTCCTTATCTCTTTGACCTCGCCATGGAAGTTTTCTCAAAGCTAACGCTTTCCAGGTTCAGTTCAGGCTACATTTCTTACCATCCAAAGACTTCTGACTTGGGAATCTCACATTTGATGTTTGCGGACGATGTCATGGTGTTTTTTAATGGTAGTAGCTCCTCCCTGCACGGTATTTATGAGACTTTAGATGATTTTGCAGGCTGGTCGGGGCTTTCTTTGAATAGAGATAAGACTACGCTTTACCACGCTGGTCTATCAGAGAGGGAAAAATTGGAGCTTGATTTGTATGGCTTCCCCGTTGGTACCCTTCCTGTGAGATACTTGGGGCTGCCACTCATGTCAAGGAAGCTTCAAATTGACGAGTACTCTCCCCTCTTGGAGAAAATCACGAACAAGTTCAGGGGCTGGGCTACAAAGTCTCTCTCTTATGCCGGTAGAACGCAACTTCTGAAATCTGTAATCTACGGTACAATCAACTTTTGGATTTCAACTTTCATGCTTCCAAAAGGCTGTATAAGGAAGATTAGTCTCTCTGTTCAAGGTTCCTTTGGTCTGGCAAGATTGACTCCCACACCAATGCAAAAGTGGCTTGGTCTTCTGTGTGTTTACCTAAAAAAGAAGGTGGTCTTGGGTTAAGAAGAATCTCTACTTGGAACACAACCTTATGTCTTAGGCTTATTTGGTTGCTTTTCTCAAATAGTGGTTCTCTTTGGGTTGCTTGGCAGCACCACCAATTATGGTTTTGCCTCTTGTAGTTTTTGGGATATTCAATTAAAGTCAACCGACTCTTGGTTCTGGAAATACATCCTCAAGATTAGGCATCTGGCAAAACAGTTTATTAAATGCAGCTTGGGGAATGGAAATAAAGCTTGGTTATGGCATGATAATTGGACTCCCCTTGGCCCACTGTTGGAGGTAATGGGAGAAAATGGTCCCAGGAATTTAAGGATCCCTAGGAATGCAAGAGTCTCTCACGCTTGCTCTGCCCATGGCTGGAAGCTTGCTCCTCCTAGATCAGAACATGCGGTCTCTCTTCAAGTCTTCTTATCAACTATCCATCTTCCAAGCGCTTCACAAGTTGATGATTATTATGATTGGTTTATCGATGACAAGCCTTGCGGTGGTTACTCTTCTAGCAGAACATGGGAGGTTCTAAGGCAAAAGGATTCTGTTAAGGATTGGGCTGATTTAGTTTGGTTCAAGGGATCAACTCCAAAACATGCTTTCCACATGTGGATTACGAATCTTGACAGGCTGCCCACCAGGTCGAGACTTGCATCTTGGGGGCTGCAATTTTCAAATGAATGTTGTCTTTGTGCTGGTTCAGTGGAGACTAGAGACCATTTGTTCCTTCACTGTTCTTTTACTCAAGTCCTGTGGGACTGCAGTTTTTTAAGGCTACGCCTCCCTTCCTCGACGTTTGACAGTTGGTCTTCTTTATTGGCATGGACAAAAGTCAGGAACAGATCTTCACCTCAGACCCTGCGACTCTTGCTTATTCATGCTCTAATCTATAGCGTTTGGAGGCAAAGGAACAGCCTCATTCACAATCAAATTGCAATACCGCCGCTCTCCATCTTTAGGGATATAGACCGGCTTATCATCAATTCCATATCAGCAAGGAGAAGTCTGAAGAATTTCAGAAATCTCATGCCTCTCTGGCTCAGTTAAAGAATCCTTTTTTTCTTTCCTGAGATTGTTTTATCATCAAATGTCGCCTTGTTTTTTTAATTTTTTTAGCAAGGTTCATTTCTTCTAGGTCTTATAATTTGTAACACCTACAATTTCATCTATTTGATGTTTACTATTTAGCAAAAATTTCTCGATAGTGTGATCTTACAAAAAATCTGTTTTCTATTAGAGTAGCCCAAGTAATCCAAAAACAGAAACCCGGAAACTAACACAAAATCATAAAGAGTTAATATCTTCATTACAATAATAAACATGAACATTCTTCTATATATTGATTTTCTCAGTTTTCTTCAACAGTTTCACTTGACCATATCTGCATGAATCACGACGTTTTATCATTTGTAGAAATTTTGCCTTGTTAGATCATTGACTTTTATATATGTGGTTGTTAAAATGTTTCTATCTAGAAAGGACAAAAGAAAGAGAGAGAAATTTCTATTAAATTTCCAATTTTTTTAAACTTGAAATACAAAATAAACTTGAAATATCTTTTATTTCAGAGAAAGTTTTTATTAGCAGTCTTAAGTTTCCGTAAATGGATTAGATTGACAGTATGCTAATAAATGCGTGTGTGCTTCACGAGCTTTGAACGACCCAACTTGTCCTTTATACGTAAAGGCCACTCTCTTCTTTTATAGAGGTTGGCCATTGATCCACCTTTGGAACATGGTAAAGGTTTCATCTGGCTTATACTCTGATGTGTGCCCACCTCCCTATAATCAAAACCCACATATTTATTAAGAAATACAGTTTAGAACCGCAATAAAAATATTTCCGAGTGGAAAAAATTGAAGAAAGAATAAAGACTTGCTTTCACAGTAGCAAATGTCATCTTATTGGCGTAAGTTCTTGTGTATCTGCAAGGAAGAGTCGAGTGATTTCAACATGAGTCTGATACAGCAATTATAAACAAGAGTATCCCAGTTTTGTTTATTAAAAAAGATTAGTATATATATACCCAGCGACTTGATTGTTGATCATCCATGGTCTCCAGTCATCAACGATGGAATAGTTGAGAGATTTTATCCAAACTTGAGTTCCAACTAAAGGTATTTCGAAATCGTGATCACCGCTATTCACCGAAAACATCACAAAGTTTACAAATACTTCAATCTATTTGGTAGGTATAAATATAATCAGCAAAAGGTTAAACTCTGAACCTGAAAATGAGAGAACGATAGCCATTGATGCTACTATACATATGGTAAGGTACGCTGCTTATAATGTCGTTAGTGTATGGAACACTCAAGTTACATCGTGTCCATTCCCTTATACTCTCCTGCATTCATCAATTGAGTATACTTTAATTCATTGTTTTATGCAGGTAACCAATAGGGCGTTCTTGGTTATATAAGAATCATCAATAATGTTGCTATACTATAATGTTTTAGTGAAAAGAACATTATTTTAGTTGCTATATATTTCATTTCAATTAGGATTAACGTACGTATATATATTACCTTATTGATTTGAAGAGCTTTGCGTACGGTTTCGTCATTAACCCAGTAGGTAGTTAATGAATACCGATAAATCTGTAAAAGCAGTCATCTTTAAATTCTTTTTTCTCAATGATTTAACGGTTAACATAGAGAATAATAGATTACTTACATAGCAATCTGGATTTGTAGTTTCTTCACACAACGGGTATAATATATGTGATTTGTATAATCTACTTGTACACTATAAAAGAACCACAAAGACTCTAAATTAGTGAGACACAACATCAATTAAGATTCCATTAATTAAGTGTATATATACGGTATACCTTATTAAATTCTTCAATAAGTTTCAAACATTCTGTGTTATGTGGATCAACTTGTCCATATTCTCCTTTGCAGATTCTCTTTAGCGACTATACGAAAGAAATTAGAGTTTTGGAACAGCTTGTTTTATTAAGTTTTCATTGTGGGGACAAGAAACAAAAGCATGTATGTTTCATACCTCATAGAGTTCATCAGATATCAGTGCCATTCCATGAGCATATGGAACGAGGTTATTATAATCAATTTTATAGTCTGTTACCGGGTTACCAAGCACATATCCCTGAAGATTTATTGGAGGATTGCAGCATTCATAATTTCCTGCATCATCATCATGTTTCTTCTGTTATAATAATTGATTGAAAAAGGGCTTGGGGGAATCGATATCATAAAACCATATATACCTTTTGAGATTTCTTGAACGGTAGTCGGAACAATCATACCGGAATAAGAAGCTCCGCCAACATAGAAAGGGTTGGAGGAAAACTCTTGATGCTTGCCTAGCCACTGCACAAATGACAACAAAAGAAAATGGCTCCTACTAAGAACCGTTGCTTCAAGAGACAATAAACTTTGTCAATAATTTACCTTTTGAAGAAACTCATGGATCCGTTTGGCTTCTCCTGTATCACTAGGTTTATTAAATAGTTGAGTTCTTGAATATGAGAAGCCAGTTCCAACGGGCTGATCCAAGAATATTATGCTTGAAGTCTGAGGAAAATGATGATCAAGAATTGATCATTAGGTTTTACTGATCGTTATATCAAGAAAACACACTTTTGTATTACCTTTGTCCAAGAATATGTAGTAGAGACCAAAGAAGGGAGAGTTCCATTGTAAACATCGAGCTTCATAGCCAGAGGCCCTGCTTATATTTACATATATAGAGTTACAAACAGTAATCAGAGACACAGAAGAAGGAGTTTATCGATGTTTTTGATCTCACCATTCTCATAAAGAAGGCCAGAGATGGCAGAGCAGCCAGGTCCTCCAGTTAGCCAGAGAAGAAGAGGGTCTTCTTTCGGGTTCCTCTCAGATTTGATGAAGTAGTAAAACAGTTGCACTTCCTCTTCCTCACCAACTCCAATATACCTTCATTCACAGGAAACGGTAACCGACTTTTAGGTTATCTCCAAACTCAGAACACGGATTTAACCAAATGAACAGATCGGGAACAAACCCGGTTTCAAGCTCAAAGGGAAGAGGACCTTCAAAACCAGGAAGGAACTTGACGATTGATGCAGAGTCAACATATTGCTTACTCAAGAATACAAAGTGAAGAAGCAGAAGCAGCGACTTCAGAGCAGAGGAAACGTAGTTGTTTGCCATTTCCTATTTCAGAGTCTGATTAGCAATGTATTACTGGATCTTTACGCCTACTCTTTATCTTTCAGTTTTGGTTTGTCACATTTTTTTAATGGATAAAATATTAAAATTTCGCAACCTTGATCCACCCACCATGTATAAAATTACTAAACAATCATCCTCGCTTCTCGCGATCGTAAAAATTAATTATACCAAATCATATTTTAGTTAAAACATTTTAGTGAAAACAATTATATAGTATCACTTTAATTTTGCTCTATTATTGAGTCTGACTCAAAAAGCAAACCAGATATCTTCAATGATCTGAATCCATTTTTTACAACGGCAAAGAAAAAAGGTCAAAAATTAAAATAGTATATCTGTAACACTCTATAAGCATGATTAATGCGAATATGCAAGGAAGGATCCGGCCAGAACTTTACTTCTCGCTGAGTTCCATCTATGTCTATTTCCAACTTTTTCAACTTTTTTTTTTGACATAATTATACACTGTCAAGTGTAAACAAACAATACCTCAATGGCTAATAAGATTGATTAAGTGAAGAGTCATCAATGAGGCATCTCTTCGACTTCTTCTCAAGAACGTAAAGCACTACTCGACGGCTGTGATAATCTGGATGCCATTGTGTTTGTTCCACACGTCCGATCGCGAAATCTTTCAGCGCGGTTTCTAAGAAGTACTCAAGAACAGCATCTGAAGAAAAGGAGCAAGCAAAATTAGACATTGTGTTCTTGTTACATTAGGTGACTGAAAACAACACAGAGAAAATTATTAACCATTCCGTAGTTCTCCTGATAGGAAGATTGTAGTTTGATCGCCGCAAAGTTGCAAAAGCGTTTTTACCAAATGGTGAACAGCTTCTTCGCTGTATATAACATCTGAGCCTAATACTACAAGTACATTCCAAATAAAAACGTTTGAAAAAATGGTATATACAGAGCAAAAGGGGATGAGATGAAACCAATAAGAATACCATAATCAGGGAATGGTTCGATCAAATCTGGATCTGGGTCATCTCCCCAAACTAGTTCCTGCACAGTAGCAGATCCACGTGTGTTCCCACGGTGCAAATTGGTTTGGATATTCTTCTTGAGTAGCCTCAATCTATCTGGAAGATCGGTGAGGACTACATTACCTCCCAAAAGTGCTGCGATACAACTGAAAGAAGAAACTAACTAAATGTTTCAGACGTTAATAGTAAAGCACAGAGGATAAAGATTTGCGGTTTTTGCTCACCCAACTAAGCCACAACCAGAACCCAACTCGACGATTTTCTTTCCTTCAAGAGAAAGAACCTTAGAGTCTACAGAATGTTCTAAGAACTTCCCTAGCACCACTCCACTGTCCCACATCACTGACCCGGTTACTCCAGGCGTGTTCTTCACAATACACAAGAAACAACCATCAGATAGTTTCTAACACGCTTCATGATCAACGCAAGAAGAATCAGTTTCTTCAATGTTAAGCTAAAGCCATTTCAAAAAAGTTGATTGTATCACTAAACATGTTCTAACAACATCCCAATCTACGTTTGATGGTTGCCACAAGACACATATACACAAACTCGTTATCTTCTCCAAACCCGGGCTCAATAAGAATCCGAAAGACGCATACTTGATTGCAATAAACACTAAAAGACGAGAAATTTCACACTGAAACAGAGAAGCTAAGGAGTTACCAATGAACAAGGAGACTGGAGAATAGAGAGTGAGTGGCCACAAGCATCGAGACGCAGCTCAAGAGAAGATTGAGCAACGAGGGCGTTTGGAGCAAAAGAAGTTGGCCCTTGAATAGCCCATATAACCATAATCTCCGCTGCCGCCAAATCGGATTCAGATTCAGATTCCGACTCCGCCGCCGGAAATCCACCGACTACTATCACATCTCCGCCGTAACCACTCATCTGTCGTATCTCCTCCACCGTCTCATCCTCCTCGTCCATTTTCTCAGCTCCAATACGCGCCGCCGAATTGACTCTCTCGGCTGCTTCCATATGCATCGACGGACCAAACAGACTCACACGAGCGAGGGGCACCAAAGTGAAATATAGCATAGTTTTGGATTTATCAACAAATAACAAATCTTTCCATATTCTCTCTTATTTACCCCAAAGATTTTATAAAATATCAAAGTACCCCACACGAAATTACTTTCTAGGTTATGCATATAGTCATTGTTACATTAGATTATAAAACACACAATAACTATATGTTTTATTTCATATAAACCGTTGATTACATCACAAACTTGGCATTCTCTCAAGCATAAGAATTTACCAAGATCTCACACTTACACAAAAGGGAACATCCTCGAGTTAGACTTAAGATGACAGTTGGAGTTTGAATCATAAGCCTTCTGAAACTTAACAGCGAAAGATTGATCAGTGCTAAGAACCAAACGTCGAACTCCAAGATTATCAGTCTCCAAACTCACATTAATACACGCAATAGCGGAGCTAATCGGACAATACATAAGCTTGTAAGCATCTCCATCTTCTTGAATCTGAAACCAGCTATTACCTTTACCTTTCTCACCACCAGTGCTTACAAAGCTCTTCCTTAGTTGCAAAGAGTGGTCGATTCGCCAGACCTTGGATTCAGGACATAACCAAACCGTGGAATCAAACTCGAGGTTGAGACTAGTTGAGAGCTGGACATGCTTGGTTTTAGTGTTGAGTGGGGAGAAAGTTACGGGAAGGCCTGAGACGAATGGAGACGATGATTGGACAATGTCGAGATTCAGACACAAGTCTTGTGTGTTTAAGTTTCGGTTCGAAGGGATAAGACCACCTCCGGTTCCGATCTTGGCCGGTATGATGTAGTATTGGACATTGGACTGAACCGGATGTCCTGCTGTGTCCAGGACTACTTGGCTTGGTACAGCATCGGCCGCTGAAGCTGCGGTCAAGAGGGCTGAGAGAACGGTGAGAGTGATGAAAGACAAAGTAAGCTTCTTCATTGGGTTAGTGTTTGAGAAATTGTTTTGTGGTGTGTGGATACTGGATAGCTTATCATATGTAAATTTATGTAACAAAAATAAATGCTAGCAATTGAAAAAATTTGTAACCAAACATTATTTGAAGTTTGTATCGTTCTTTATGTCTTTGTCATCCATCTCATTTACGCACGTTTTTCGCCTCCCAAAATCTGTGTAACGAATATTTTTTGTAATTTAGTAGCTATTTTCCAAGGAAACAATTATTGTTTGAATATGGAATCACTGCTCAATTATTGTTTTAACTATGGATTTACTACTCAATGAAACTAGTTTTCCCATGATGCAAGAACTTGCCGGATTACATTATCGTAGAAAAACAACAATCTTGTTTACAAACATTCCTACGTGAACCCAGTTGATAGACACCGTAAGAAAAGTTTGAGGTCCTTAGGTTTTTAACCTTCAGCTAAATCATTAAGCGATTCATCATGAAAATTTGACATTTCGAGTGAAATTTAGGTTATTCGATCTATACAACTAAATTTGCAAGGAGAGAATAGTAGTACACATAAAGACAAAGTAGGTTTTATGTAATTCATTTATACAAAGCAAAACACACATGACAGACTGACCATACCAGAAAAAGCGCACAAACCAATCACAAGTTGTTGGTATTGTCACAACCATTATTCAAGAGGCCATATCTTTGGCACTTTTTTGGTACAAGTTGTTAGTTAGTAGAAAGGGAACATCCTCAGCTTAGTTTTCAAATCAGGTTTTGGAGTTGCTGCCTTCTGGAACTTAACTAGGAGACCCTCGTCGTTGGTCAAGGCTAAGCGTCGTGCACCAGAGATATCGGTGAATATGCCAACGTTCATGCACGTAGCAGGAGATATGGTCGTACAATACACAATCTTGTAAAAACCTCCGTCAACTCGATGGATCTGGAAGCCACTTGGGTTTGATGAAACACCAGTGCTTATTATAAGACTCTTTTTGAATTCTTCAGAGTACACGACTCTCCACCCCTTGGATTCTTCAGGACACAAAAACCAGTTGGGAGCCTCGAACTCTATGGCGACATTATTCATTTCCTTAACAAACCATAACTCGGACTTAAATTTGATGGGTACGCCCAAGTCAAGGGGATCGTTTGACTGGAGGATGTCGAGAGGACAGATCTCTTCACTGTTCGAGAAAAGACCTCCTCCTCTCTCAGGAGTCGCAGGTACGATGTGATAAGTTTGACCAGGACGAAGTAAACGGCCTACAGAGTCCTCGACATGATTGTCTGGACGAGCTAGAGAGGGTACGGCCAAAGCGACCACGAGAAAGATGGCAGTGATGGATACGGTAGCCTTCATGGTTGTTTCCTGTTAGCCAATTGTGTTTTGGAGTTTGTTATAATTTTGTTTGATGTGTTTGAGAAGGTCACAAAGGGTATCATTATATAGAAGGATTGGGTGTCACAATGTCGATGGTGGTAAAAGATATCGATAACAAATCATTCACAAAAAGACGAAATTTACCTAGAAAATAATAAGGAAGTTTCAAATTTAATGATCAACTATATATTAGTTTAATTATAACGTGAAATTTGCCATAGCTGTCATTTTCTGACAAATAAATTATAAACATTCTGTAAACAATCAACACGGATATTGCTCTAACGAGTGTTAGAAAATATAGCAACGGTATAGAGTTTTTGTGAATGCGATATTGTTTAAACTTTTATGTAAATGCGAGTGTTTAAAACATTTGGGAGTATTTTTTTCCTCTACAACATATTGTTCACTCACAAAAGAAGGTGGAATCGAGTGAGAATGAATTCGAATCCCGATAACAGATGTTCTGATGTGTATTTCATATATAAGAGATTAATATCTATCGATGTTTGGATACCTAGCTCTACTATTATACCGAAAGTATGATGTCTCTCATACTTTCTTTTCGAAATACTTGCTCGTCACATCTTGTTCTTGCCACTAGCTAGATCTTGTGTAAAATACTTCGATTTGTTACACATTTACTCGATTGCGTAGTTTTTATGATATATAGGTCGATGAGAAATAACCACCTATTAAGGTATATATATAGATGTCACATATCGAACTGTGATCGAGAGATTCCACTCAAAGAAAAATTAACTATATATTTAGTTCTTTTTTTCATTTATGATTTTTGAACAAAATTAACTAAACATTTACGGTCCAATGACATTCTGCCACATTATACGATACTGAATATCACAAATATCAGTGGAGTGATACTCATCAGACTAGTATCAGACCCAATTATATGGCTTAGTCTAATAAAAAATTGTTTTTGGGTTAATGATACCAAGAAAAAATCACCAATGTACATGGTCTTACCTATTATATAGCACTAGGAAGACGCAGAACCAATCAAGTAAATCCACTAACTAGTGTTTCTCCTACAATGATTTTTTTTTTTTTTGTTAAACAGTTATGATTCTATAATGATCAACAACATTTGCACCGTGAAATTTGCAAAGCGTTCATTTCGGACAATATAAACTATAATAATTTGTGGTTGTAAATTATAAAATATTTTGTAAACAGTAAACATGTATTATTGCATTAAATAGTGTTTGTCCTATAATGACAATATTATAATATTAGTTAATTAATCACACTTTTCAGAAACTATTTATTTATTTTTTAGAGTATAATACTCCCTCTGTTTCACAGTCATTCTAATATTTTTTAAAATAAATTAAAAAAATAAATAAACAATTTTCATTTCTACTATTTATTAATACACAAATAATACCCTTCTAATTAATAAACTAAAATAGTAGAGATAAAAAAGAGAATTGATTTTAAAAACTGTATTGAAAATATAAAACGACACTCTTTGTTAAACAAAAATAAAATTTAAAACGATACTATTTGTGAAACAGAGAGAGTAAAATATAGTTAAAATTTTAATTATTTTCTGGAATATATCATAGTTTATATATTAATTGTGGTTTTAAATGATAGGGATTGACTATAGATCGGACATTGTCGATCCAAAGATGTAAAAAAAAAAAATGGTCGTGGTGGATGACAGAAATGTTTGTAAATTGGACTACCTTTTGGCTTTTGTTTTTTTTTTTTTTTTTTTTTTTGACATCTTTGGATCGACAAGGTCCGATCCATAGCCAATCCCTACTACGCGGGGTAACGCGACTTACTGGAGTCGAACTCCGGTGGAGAAGACGGAGTCAAATGGACTTAACCACTTGACTAAAGGCACATCTCCTCCTTTTGGCTTTTGTTTATTATTCATAACTTGCAATATGTAGTGGTGCTAACGAAAAAAACATAAAAGAAACCATCGGCGAACCAAACAATTACAAACCGTATTTAACATAAAAATAAATTTGATCAGTTTAGTCCATTCTCAAAATACGATGGTCTAGTCCACTAATTGTTTAGCCCTAAGTTATGGGTCTCAATGTTCTGGTCCACAAAAATTATCAATCTGATGATACATGTCAAGGTTTACAATAACTTCAACTTGACACTATATTAGTATAAAACAGTTATAGCAATGGTGTGAAGTGTAAGCAGTGAAGCGTGTAACAGTATGATTGAGCAACAAGTCAGGAGTCTCCGACTGACTCGGAGGCTTACCCTAGAGGCCAAGATTGTCTTAGCTGGCTCCTGCTGGCTCCTTATGCCAATTGTGTTAGAATAATCATTTCGTATATTTCTTTCATACGCATATTTTCTCTACTAAAAAAATACTTTTGGTCTGTAAGTCATAGAAAAAAACATGTAAAACTATTATTTTAATGTTTTTCTTCGATAACTAACTCTTATATATGTTGTAATTAAATAAAACTCGAAACAGACCACGTTTGCGGCTAAAAACGAGTGGTTTTTGATGCGGCTCACGAAGTCTCGTCGTGGCGCTTATAATATCGAGCTCTATGAGAAGCTTTAGTAGCCATTAGGCGGCTCCAAACCACACTTTTTTGACTCAGTTTTAGTGGCTCCATAAACTTTGACCTTACCTTCATGATTCCTTCACCGTCACGTTAACCAAAAAGGCTACTTGAGGTCAAAGCAACCTCGCAACACTACAACGACGACTCTTTTTTTTTTCTCTCTTTAATTATAATGCTTAACATTATCGATTCTTCTTTTATTTATATTATAATTTAAATTTTCCTCAGTTGCTGCTTACTTGTTCTACAGTCTTAGCTGTAAAAAACTGTATATAAAACTCTCCACGAACTCTCCACACACACCGAGACAGAAGAATTGGTTTTAATGGCGGAATTTGCAGGAGAATCTTATTGGCTTCTCTCGGGTGCTGCTGCATCAACCACATTTCTTGCTTTCATCATCATCTTCTTCCTCGCGGGAATAGCAAGAAGAAAGAGAAGAGAGCCTCATAGGCTGCCTCCGGGAAGCAGAGGATGGCCTTTGATCGGAGACACCTTCGCTTGGCTCAACGCCGTCTCTGGTTCTCATCCTTCAAGTTTCGTTGATAAACAAATCAAAAGGTTCGTCTCTTTGCTCCGGAAACCAAAAAAAAAAAAATACTCATAAATGCTCTGCTTCGTTTTTTATTAATACACCAAGAGTTCTGATTACATATAGTGGTTTTATTGATTTTAGGTATGGGAGGATATTCTCGTGTAGCTTGTTCGGGAAATGGGCAGTGGTATCAGCTGACCCGGCTTTTAACCGGTTCATAATGCAGAACGAAGGCAAGCTGTTTCAGTCGAGTTATCCAAAGTCTTTCAGGGATTTGGTTGGGAAAGATGGAGTGATCACGGTGCACGGTGATCAGCAGAGACGGCTTCATTCGATTGCATCAAGCATGATGCGTCATGACCAGCTCAAGACTCATTTTCTTGAGGTTATTCCAGTGGTTATGCTTCAGACATTGAGTAATTTCAAGGACGGTGAAGTCGTGCTTCTCCAGGATATCTGTAGAAAGGCAAGCGACTGAAGATGAAAAAAGCCTTAAAGTCTTTAAGAGAGTTTCTTGATTTCTGATCTTTGTTTTGGTTGTGTTTCAGGTTGCCATTCATCTTATGGTTAACCAACTTCTCGGTGTGTCGAGCGAATCAGAAGTTGATGAAATTTCTCAGCTTTTCTCCGATTTTGTTGATGGATGTCTCTCTGTTCCTATCGACTTGCCTGGTTTCACATACCACAAAGCAATGAAGGTAAGTTTTAAACAATCCAAAAGAAAACTCCAAACATCTGACTCAATGGTTGACTTGTCGCCTTGGAGCTAATTTGCTGAGATTTGTTTGTTTCTTATTCAGGCACGAAAGGAGATCATAAGAAAGATAAACAAGACGGTAGAGAAGTTGTTGCAGAACAAAGAAGCATCAGATACTGCTGGTAATGGTGTACTTGGAAGATTGCTTGAAGAAGAAAGCTTGCCAAACGAATCCTTGGCAGATTTTATCATCAATCTACTGTTTGCCGGAAATGAAACCACCTCGAAAACAATGCTGTTTGCGGTTTACTTCCTCACTCATTGTCCTAAGGCCATGACCCAACTCCTGGTACATATAAGGCCTCTTGAATGATAACAAATTAGTTCCTCTTGCTTCTCTGTTCTGTTTAGTTAATGAAACGTTCTTCAAAAGAGCAGGCGGAACACGATAGGCTCGCGGGAGGAACGCTAACATGGCAAGATTATAAGACAATGGACTTCACTCAATGCGTAAGTAAACTAAGAAACTAAGAAGCCCAAGAAACTGCTCTGCTTCTGGTCTTAGATGATAAACCTTTCACTAAATGCTTTCTTGATTTCTCAACAGGTAATAGATGAAACACTCAGGCTTGGGGGAATTGCGATATGGCTTATGAGAGAGGCGAAAGAAGATGTCTCATATCAAGGTACGTTATTGCGTCTTTGATTATTGGTATATGCAGGCAGAAACATGGTCTAAAAATCAACTCTTTTCGATTCTTATGCAGATTATGTCATTCCCAAGGGATGCTTTGTTGTTCCGTTTCTCTCGGCAGTGCACTTAGATGAGAGCTATTACAAGGAAAGTCTCTCCTTCAATCCATGGCGATGGCTTGACCCTGAAACTCAGGTTTTACTTTGCGTTTGACATTGAAGCATTACTTCCTAGTTCCTACTAGTCTAGAAGTTAACTTTCATTGGATGTGAATGCAGCAAAAGAGGAATTGGAGAACGAGCCCTTTCTATTGCCCATTTGGTGGAGGAACTCGGTTTTGTCCAGGAGCAGAACTGGCTCGCCTACAAATTGCTCTCTTTCTGCATTACTTCATCACCACATACAGGTCAGTACTCAGTACCTGTTCTGCTTCTCAGTTTTAATTTGTCTGAATCCAAAGCTAATCCATTCTTGTTGCATCTTCAAGGTGGACACAACTTAAGGAAGATCGTATCTCCTTCTTCCCTTCGGCTCGTCTAGTGAATGGCTTCAAAATCCAGTTGAACAGACGAGACAGTGATCCTCGGAATCAATAAAGAACCAACACTCTCCACCTCTGTAGATCTCTTTGTATTGATGTATATTCACTCAAAACCATGTGACTTTTTGTAACTCCAAATTTGTATAATAGTGTTTTAACTCCAAAGTTGCGTACTCTATAAAACTCAACACTCCAGTAAAACCAACAACATCTAACAACCCGTATGCCTTTTGAAATCATCTTCATTAGAATATCTGCTTCAAACTCCAACAAACCCATTTGGTTTCAACAATTACAACAAGTGCAGGGCTAGATGGCAAAAGATGTATTGAACCCTAAAGCTAAACTCTTGTAAGCTTTCGACATAAATATTGGAGACCACAAAATAAAAAGCAAGAAGACATATAGGAGATAGAACCCTATTCAGGGTTCATCACTCCTCTCAGTCTTCTTCATCTGAACTCTCATACGCTAATCCCAACAAGCCTTTCAGAGCATTTTCACCTTGTCCATTGCTTTCCGTAGCTTTACCGTCATTTCTGTCTGCGCCAGGTTGCTCCTCTGGTGTGTCCAGTTTCTTCAACACAGTCATAGCTTCTTCTTTCTGCTTATCTCGGTGAACTTTTGCGTCTGTTGGACCTCTATCACTTCTAACAGGGGGAGATAAGCTTGGGCTTGACAGTGTTGAGACTTTTGGACGTTTAGGTTTAACCTCAACAACTTTTCTCAGCAAATCTTGCTGCCTAGACATTGGAAAAACACACAAAAGTTGGTCACCAAGTGAAAATCCAGTTTATGAGGTGAATAAGGCGGAAAGGAAAAGAAAAGACTTTCCACCTGATACCACTTTTTGGTTTGGGCTCAACACGAAGTGGTAAGGGAACAGATGCTGGAGATGAATCAGCTTGGGTTGCAGCTTTGTGATATATGGTCAAGAAAGATCAAAACAAGTCATATAACAGTAACTTAGTGATCAAAATCATGAAGGAAAGGATATTTTAAAGGCAGCAAAAGCCCGTTTCTCAGTTCGTCTCAGAAGGCGTTCTGCATCTTCCTCTGCTTCCATCTGTTCTTTCAGATAAAGTAAATCGTCGCTGTCTAAAGCTACAGGAAACTCAAGAATTATGGCCATGACACAACTATAAAAGATGAGAAAACAAAAAAAAGAGGGAGAAGAGAGATTGGTACCGCCCCGTCCATGAAGATAGCCTCCACGTTCACCAGCAACCTCTTGCATCTATATGCAATAACCAGAAAAGGTGACAGGGCCGTTATCCCTGCCGGGGCATGTTATCAGAAAAGTCGCGTCCCAAAACAGAATCAAACACAAGAATCACTTCACACACATCAACAACCAATAATGCTAACAAAGATATCTATCTATACAACTTCACTAGCTATACCAAAACAATCAAACAAAGAAGCAAGAGCTTAATCGAATCAATAACACATAGCATACAAACAACACTAATCAAATCACTATGGTATACTGCACAAAAGACCAATCGAACTCAAAGATACAAACACAGGTAATCTCTCGCATACAAGTTGTGAACAAAAAGATTGCTCAAAAGAAGATTAAGTAAGTAACAGTGGAGAGGGCGATGCGCTAACCTTTGCAACCATCCGTTGAAAGGTGACGTCTTCATCATCTATCTTACCCTTCCCTAATTTCTTATCTGCAACAGAGAGCCCCAAAAAAAAAAACCAAAGCTCAAAAAGGGTTTCTCGAGAACCCTACAATGAAATTAACCAATGAACTATATAGTCTATATCAAATCAAATGTCTCACCTTTAGGGTCAGACAGATTTGTGTATTCTCGAACTTCTCTACCTGCCATCGTCTTCGATTCTAGTCCCGTAATCTAGTTCTTCCGAATCTATTCTCGAACCCTAGATTATCAGAAGATTAGGGTTCCAACGTTTTCAAGGAGTGGAGACGAAGATGACGATCGAACAAGGATGAAATTGGTAATGGTTCTCTTCTCTAACAAGATTGTCTCTGGATGGAGTGATTTTTGGTTTTTAGTCTTCCCCATTGGGTTTGGTTTACTATGAACAAATATTATGGGCCTATATTCAAGCCCGTTATAACTCAGCCCAATACTTATAATGACTTCAACGATCTTCTAATTTTTCCAAACATTAACACAGAGAAAGAAAACAATATATTGTTTAGAAGAATGAAAAAAAACTCTTTAAATTTTGCAACACATTACACCAGTAAGAACATTTATTTCTCATGTTCCATTCACCTTTTTATATACTATCTATCTACGTACTTAATTTACAATTTTGTAAGTGACGTAGTAGCCTTAAGTTAAGTCCTTAATTATCGATCTAATTAACTGTCTAGTCATAATTTCAATAATTCACAATCAATATCAGAATTACTTTTTTTTTTTCTTGAAACTAGTACTACTATTAAAAAATAAAAGATGTCTAGCTTAGACTAGGAACGTGAAGTTCATGCATCATGATCATGGCATGGACCTAATTTAGGGAGAAAGTACCTTTACTTTACTATTGATACATTATTAATTACGATTTATATGTATATGGATCAACCCTACAAAAGACTACTATTATTAACCAAAAAAAAAAAAACGGTACGTTGGATTTAAGGAACCAATCTTTTTGAAAGTGTGAAACCAATCGTTTTGAAAGAAAAATAGTTTTGATTTTGATAAATGATAAATCTAATCTAAAAAACAAAAGAAAAACCGCACGTTCGATGTATTGTTTTAGGTCCAAAGGAGGTTTGAGACGTGACATGATTCTTCACCATAAGTTTTGATCATAAAAGTGTATTTGGATCCAACGAGAGAGTGATGGGTTTTTATGGCCTCCGTACGAATACAATTTCCTTTTAAAGCGAACCAACCAAAAGAAATCGCATTTATCAATCTTTGTTGTTTCTTCTTTCTCTCTTCTAACTTTCAAAAAAGTCATCAACTTGTCAGATTTCATCACCTAACCTCTCTCTCCACCCATAACAACATTTAGATCAATCACCACACACACTTTGGTCAAAGAGGAAGAAGATTGAAATACTAGTTAAAGCAGAAACAGACCATTAATCAAGAGATGAACAAAGTTTAAAGCTTTCAAAGACCAAAGAACAAAGTTTGCAATAGAAGTCAATGCCCGAACCATACAAAGAAAGTCAAAGTTGCATGGTGCGTTCTTGACTTCCAGTTTCTTCAAGTAATAAAATTGAAAACAATAAAGAGACCCTAAAATTCTCATAACCAACAAAAAAAAAACCCCCAAGAAAAAAAAGAACAAATGAAGAGAGAAGGATCCAGCTGTTTTTTTCTTACAGAAGTTGTTTAATGAGGTTTGTCCAAGAATGGAACAGCACCAACAGAAGCAGCAGAACAATTGGAGTTAATGAGCTTCTCTTCTCTCTCTCTGGCATTGAAGGCAAAGAAGAGTTAATTCCCTTCTCTGTTCCATCATTGAAGAGAAAGAGACACCCAGAAGAAAGAGGGAAGAGCTTTTAATGGTGTGTCAAGCTGTAGTTGAAGCTGTAGGACCGCTCAAGGCGGTTTTAATTTGGTGTACAGTGGTTCCTATCAGGTTATTAACCGTTTCCACCGACTCCATATTCAGTTTTGCCGACGGTAAATTGCTAACCATTATCTGAAACCCAACCGTAATCAACGAACCGCTTGATGATGACCGTCCTGAGCTCGTTGAGGCTCCACCTCCTTGTTCAGAGGTTGAGCCGTTTCCATCTGGTGAGATTGTGAAACCTGAGGACAAGAGGGGAATGTAAGAAGGATCTTCACCGCTCATTGCGATGTTCAACGCTGCTAAATCCACTGGACTGTACACCACAAGAGCTCCTGATGAGTCTGTTGAGCTTTCTTGCAGAATTAGCATGTTGTTGCTATGTGTTGCATTGGATCCCTAATACAGAAAACAAATGAGTAAAAACAGAATTAAGCGGAAATTTTTGTATCACTCTTTTATAAGGGAGGCTTACACGTAGAACCGATATACAGTTTCCGGGATGTGATCCGTTTGAGATGTGAGCAACTTCTTGCACCGCGTTTCCGTTTGAAAGAACATCCCACTAATACCACCAACAACAAAGGAACAATATATACATTATTAAACACTTCAGATAGATCTTTGGGTATGAAGATTTTGAATCTTGTGTTGTCACCTGAGGACGAGTTCTTTCATCTTTGAGGAAATTGAAGACATTTTGAGGAGAATTGGGAAGCCAGAAGGTGGTGGCTGCACAGAGGATTGTACCGTTTGGTTCAGGGCTCTTATGTGCAGTCACACGGATTCCAACTTCGTTAAGTTCCGAAACAACGGTTGAGCGCGTGTTGTTGGATCTGCTGACACTTAAACAGTAGTTGCTAATCATTCTCTGAGCAAGTCTCATCATGCTTCTCTTCCCTTCCGGCGATGGAATCACTAAAAAAGTTGCTCAAAATATGTTATATAAGGATTAAAAATGAATTAGCAATGGAAACTTATGTCTATTCAACGTGTTTTCACCTCCACCGAGATCACGGGATGAAGACGCTGGTACCGATAGAGACGCGAATCTTTCACACATTCTCTGGAGAGTGGTTACCCATCGTTCAGCTCCAAAAGCAATCCCTCTGTGAATAATCTCTCTGTATAGCTCATGAATAGGTTCTTTTTCTTCAGTTTCAATATGTTCAACCCAAGTAACCTGTTTCAATTCATCAGTTTGGGGACATTCTAACATGAAAACATAATTTTGCAGACAGAGGAAAAAGAAGTTGACCTTGGAATATCCATTGGGCATGTCCTGAATCAAGCATCCAGATGGAAATCTATAGGACTGAGAGTGAGAAACAAACTGAGGAAGATCATATGAAACATTTACAACTATCCAGCTTCCTTGTTCAATCTGCTGACAATAACGTAGCTCACAGAATTCGCGTGTTGCTACTAAAGGCGAAAGCACTTCCATTTCTTCATACAACTACATAGCCAAGCCAAGCAAAGTTATTATTATTAATCTGAATTTCTAATGATGCTAAGGAGAATTATACTATCCATTTTACCAAATGCAATGCACCCTCATGGGTACCTCCCATTCCTGAAGAAATCACTGCAAGTGTTTTAGAAGCTGCAATGATCGAGGGAAAGAGTTCTGTCCACTTGACCTGCAAAAAGAAGACAAAATTTATATAAGAAATGCTGTAACCAATTGTAAAAAAAGAACATGATGATGAGGATGTCTCAGCTACTTACACTATCCATGAACATGTCGACAAGTGCCATAGCATTCATGAAAACAATACCAGAAGACCTTGATGCCTCTACTCGAAAGTTATGGTTCTTCCCTCGGTTACTTGATCTTGGGAAAACATTCTCATAGCTACCAATATTGAGAATGTCTCTGCAGTCATCTGTTCTTGTCCAGAGGGGTTCGTTTGAGTGAAGAAGCCTGAGCAATTCTTCCATTGCAGTCAAAGCAATATCGGTCATAATAGGCTTGTCCATGTCTGATATAGCCAAGTTAGGCTGAGATTGCAGATTATTAGGACCAACAGCCATAGAACTTCCTGGAAGAAGATCAAAATCCAGTGAAGGACCATGACCACAAGGTCCACAACCAGTTAAACTAGTCATTGACAAATCCAACGGTGAGATGTGCATTGGATGTAGCGTAGAGAGTTGCGATATCGGCCTTCCCATGTACTTTGATGCAATGGTCGACATTCTTTCAAGCTGTGCAAAAGATCAAATTTTTACAGTCAAATTGAATCAATCCAATGTAGATAAAAAACCCGCAAAACAAAACCAACCTCTTCTCTAAGATGTGCATTTTCAATTCGAAGCTTTTGTTCATCAAAGTAAGGATCTTCACTAACAGGAGGACCTCCACAGTTAGGACATATAGCATGCTTGAGAGCTTCTCTAATGGCAATGTTTTCACAACGAATCTTATCATTCTCTGCCTTTAGTGCACTATTATCAGCTCTCTCATGTTGCGCCTACACAAAACAGTACCACAACCAAAATCAAAATCCCATCTTTTCTTATTCAGAATTACATTTTAGACTCGAAAGAGGGAAGAGAGAGAGAGAGAGAGAGAAAGGGACACAAAACCTTAAGCTGAGTTCTTCTGTTCTGAAACCAGAACTTGATTTGTCTTGGAGCCAAACCCAATTCTCTGCTAAGTTGATTCCTCTGTTTCTCATCTGGATGAGGACACTCCTTGAAACTCCTGTTCAAGTTTCAACGATTACAAAATGAAAACAGAACAAGAAATTTCTCATAGACAAAAGATAAAAAGAAGGAGATTGTGTAGTACGATTCTAGGCGTTGAATCTGTTGAGCGGTGTGACGATGGTAACGTTTCTTCTTCCTATCAGTTTCAGAGCCGTCGTGATGTTGACTACCACCACCGTCTCCGCCGCTTCCACTACCACTCCCGCCGACGCCGACGACGAAACTCATCTTTTTTTTTAATGTTTCGGAAAACAGTAAAACAGTCTTTAATCTAAGTGGCTAACAAACTTGTTTCTCTTTAGTTTCACCCAACCACAAACTACTAATGGACCATTTACACCACTGTCGCCATTAACACAACCCCAACAGAGCAACACAAAAAAAAAAGGTTCAAACTTTTTTATGCACCCACTAAAAAAACTCAAACTTTAGGGAAGAGGAAGAGAGATTAAAAGAAAAGACAAACGAAACGGAAGAGAATCTGAAAGAGAAGATGCAAAGGCGATGATTTCGGGAGGTGAAAAGATTTCGCTTTAGGCAAGAAATTGATTACTTAAGAGAAAAAAAGGGAATTTTCACAAAACCAAAAACCCCAAAAATTCAAGATTATAGGTTTGTTTTAGCCGTAATAATGTCTCTTCTAAGTTCTCTACAGAGCCACCCTAGAAAGAGAAAGTGAGAGAGATATGATCTCTTCTTCTAAAGACTTTCACCTAAGCTAAGCCGCCATTAGTGCTTCCCAACCCTTTTGTTGCTTCTTCAACATTCATTACAGATTCGCA